TATGATGTCATCAATATGTGGGATACCCTCTAAATATAATGGCAACCTTGGTATCAAAAAAGTTCAGACTATTGGCTAAAAAAAATGCAGACAGGAAGCTACACGGACACAAACAAATAAAGCCTTGCCTGCTAGTTACCATACGACCTTGGTGCGCTAGTAGGAACCTTCACTTCCTGTCATGCTTTATTCATATATTGTGTGTTGTGTTGCAGCTTTCATGAACACTGCAGTTGGCATGGTCATGTGACACACACACACACACGCGCCCACACACACACACACACACACACACACACCCACACACACACATGCACACACAGAGGTCATTCCTCATGCAAATGCAACATTGTCAAGGACTCTGGATTCCAGAAAGGTGGGGGGAAAATGGGTGTGAAAGTCAGGCCGTTCTTGCGCCTGTCTTGTGAGCGAGCTGCAAACACAAGGTCTCTTCATTAGAATGCAGCAGAGAGCTCCAGCAGAGGAGAGGAATGATGAAACCAGAGCTAAAAATAGCCGCCTCCCAGGATCCCCCTCATATGCCACTGTAAACACTCACATTCACTACCAAGCTTGTGTGTGCGTGTTGGGGAGGTTTGAGTCCCTCTGTTCCTTGCTCATAAAGGAGTGTTTGCTTTAGCTAGCGTGTGTGTGCAATGAAAGCCATCTGTGGTGCTTGCTGGTGCAAGTTAAAAGCCTCTCATGAGAAACTGAAGACACCAACCTGTCAGCTGTAGTCAGTTGAAAAAAAGTGGTACAGGTACTTTGGATTTAAAAAAAAAAAGAAGCACACATTGTAAAAATTAATTAATTAAATAATTAAATATGTATTATTAATAATCATAATCATAATAATAATAATTTTAAAATAATAGTTTTACTAAATGCCTATGTCAATGCAATAATCTTTTTGATTGATTTTTCCACTACTTCTGAGCTAAGGAATTTCATGGAGCTGAAGTCACACACACACACACACACACACACACTTGTCATACAATTGCATCAAGTATTCAGAATTGTCAAATATTAAGGATCATCTTTATCTTGATACGGAATTAATTGAAAGAAAGAAACTCATTATGCCCGTAACATTGATTGCTCTAGATCAGTGGTCGGCAACCCGCGGCTCAGAAGCTGCACGCAGCTCTTTCATCCTTGTGTTGCGGCTCTGCGTGGCTTGGGAAAATAAATTATAAGTGTCCAATTGAAGTGTCTTAATTGTCTCAAAAACGTGAATCACGTCTGTTATGGTCTCTGACTGTACACTAGGTGGCAGTGTTGCTGTAAAAATACTGTCGACATGAATAAGGCAGGAGAACAGTTCTGTAATGGCGACTATCGTGAGTTGTACGAACTAGTGTTGTGCTGTTCATAGCCTGTTAAGAAAACACTCTGGCCTTGTTATTTTGCCTCCCGACAACACAACTTCTTTCTTCAGACCTTGTGCAATTTCGGTGATCAGCATTCACCTTCTTCAGAGACGTTTGCAACCACTTGATGTGTCAGCAGGCAGACTTGACAGGTAGCATGCGCAGAAAGCCCAGTGACACGAAAACAACCAAAATGTAAAAGAAAAAAGGAAATTCGGTCAACTCTTTCTGGAAGTGAATTTCGAGAGGTCTCTCTCTCTCTCTCTCTCTCTCTCTCTCATTCTCTCTCCCTCTCTCTCTATTAGTAATAGTGGTAGTAGGCGTACTAGTCTTGTCGTATATTACCAGTGCTACTGTAATATTGGTAGAATATCCGGTATCCGTAGTAGCCATAGTCGTAGCATATCTATCTGTATATTAGTGCCAATGATGGAAGTATTATAAGTACGTAGAACTTTAGAAGGAGGAGATGCTAATTAGTATTTGTGGGGACTACAGCGATACTATGTTCCCCACAAATATCAATTAACATCTATAGCATGACTGTATAGTGATAGGAAATGATATGATGGATGACATCTATGGATAAAATTATGACTTACCTTGCAGTTTATTGACTGCGCTAGCAAACGTTTGGGATTAAATGATGCAAAGGGAAGATTTTTGGGTCATCAGGCGGTTTCTCTCCCATGCAAATTAGTTGTGCGAGGAGACGTCAGCACAGCAAAGCATACTGAGTTCACGCCGGCTTTAACAAATCCACGTGAGTTGAACACAAGGTATGCTTGTGAAAAAAAACGACAATGACAAGAGAACTAATAATGAATAGAGCATTTCAATGCTTTGCTGAACTTAACTAGCAAGTTCTTTTTTTTTTTTTAGCTGGGCCATGCTTTCCCGGTGTGACATCCAGCATGGATGATGGATGACAGATAAGTGGCGCACACATTGGTTTCCATAGCAATGCTGTTTCCAGTTGCCTCTGCAGCGTGACGTCACCAAGGTCTTACTTGAAAACTGCAAGACCATTTGAAAAATAACTTGAATACAGTAGTCAATTTGTTAGTATCATAATCAGAGAATATTTTCATTCCTTGCATTTCATTTGAATCCATTCTTCTTAAACAGGATTGAAATAGTTGGACGTCAAAGTCGATATCATTCGATTGCAAAAGGGTCGACTGGTTCAGCACGATCATTGTAACGCAACAATGCTACTCTCTAGTGGATATAAACTGAACTACAGAGTTTGGACATTTAAAAGCATCCCAACATCAGTCCCAGATTTGTAGCGGAATCTTACACCCACTCTTCCATTCCCTCCCCTCAAGCAGGAGGCTACGGAGCACCCCAAGCAGTACTACCAGATAAAGGAACATCTTTCCAGAAGCTGTTCGACTGTTAAACTCAAACAGTGTTTAGTAACCCCAAAATAAGCACAGACTGCCCCCCCCATGCCTTTTTTATCCTTCCACGGTGACCACTTTGTTCTTGAACGCTTTATTTCTTGTCAAGTACAAAATGACTTTCCAACAATCATATGGAATTCACCCCTGTTCGCGGGGTTACTTCACAGAGCTTGTCGACTGACATCCTTTTGTCTACCATGATCCTAAGAATGACATGATAGGTGTTTTCTTCAGCCATACACCGGCATATTTATTTCAACAGGCAGAGAGAGAAAAATGAAAAAAAAAACAAAAAACAGCGTGCCCTTTTTATATGTCTGATCAAGTCATTCACCACGACCAATGCAGAGTAGAGTTACATTGCCCTCTTCTGGCTAAATTGCAAAAAGGCAATCATACAACCTGAACAACCCCCTTTATCTTCTCATATTTGACCGTATTTTTTGTTGTTCCGTTTTTATTTTAACAAGCCTTGGAACTTACTGGTTAACCAACGAACATATCGTGTGGAAATGTGTGTCGATACAGCTGCAGGGAGGTGACAACTCGGGAGCCATGCCTCCTTTGAATTGTAGTTGTTTTCGGTGTTGTTCCAGCGAGCTGCACATCAGCACAAAAAGCAGCTGGCATTCACCACGCCCTGGACCAGCAAATTCCGCTGAGTCAGCTTTTAACACCATCTGGCATGTCCGCGCTCTGCCTGACAAATCCCGCTGAGTAATCACGCCTTTGTGCTCAGCGCGACGTGGCCTCTTCAACACCCATATTGTCACGAGAAGACATTGTAATGTTACGGGAATAAGGTTGTTTGCATCTTCCTCCCGGATTCAGCCGTGTTCGGTTAATTCAAAACTCTAAATTGTCCAGCAAGTGTTAATAGTTGTTTTATGCAATTGGCTGGTGACCACTCCGTTTTTGTATGACTTTTTCCTGAAAAGTATCAGGGCCCAACACCTGTTCTCCAGATAGGCAGATGCTGGGGGCGCAGTGGACTGTAGGGGGCGCTAGAAATCAGAGGAAAATTCACTGAATTATACTCAAAACTCGATTATTATTTCTATTTACTCTACATTTCAAGCCAAAAGGAAACAGGAATAAATTGAAATGAATATAAACAATTAAATAGAAACAAGGTGAATTAATTTGATGTCACTGTTCGTGCCCAGGCGTGGCTACGGCTGACGCTGTGTGTGTCACCCGCGTTGACTCAAGTCTCGAGGTTAGTTGCTCTCCATTTCTAAATGCATGTTGGTGGTAGTTGTCCTTTAAATGGTTATGAAAACAGAAATCATTCCATGATTGAGCAACAAAATCGGAAATAATGTACCGGTACATGTAATGTGCCAATAAATTTAATTGATTTTAAACTAAAAAGTTAAAACATCAATGACAGCCTCATTTTTTTGGAGAGAGAGAAACGTGAAATTATATCCATTGAACACATTTTAATCATTTGCAAAGGGTATACAAGAACTTCTTTTCAGTGGAATGGTTCAACTTTATTCTTGTAAAATACCCTTTTCCCTTTCTTTTTTTTTGTTATTATGATGACTTTGCTCTTCTAAATTTCCCCCTCAATTGGGTAACAACCTCAGTCTTACCCTAACTCTTTCATCTTCCTAACACAAATCGTATTACTTATGTCAAATTGTGACTTTTTTCCTGTGTTCTTTTAAAACACGCCCTTTTCCCCCTTAATTTTACAACTTTAAATCTCTTTTTTTTCATTCCGCGTTTTACTTACTTCCAACTTTTTTCGCCTATTGCAACTTAATTGGTGTACCACAATGACTTCCTCCTGATATATTATCATTTGCAACTACATTTGGCCCTCCCACTGTGAGTACGTTTACATGCAGTCAATATTCGGATTAAGTCAGGGCTTGAAAGTGTGATCTTTATGCTCGCAAATGCTCCCATTTTTTTGTGTGCTAGTAAATATTTCATCCGGTCGCACAGCATGATTGCATGTTTTAATGCTCCTACGGGTACATACAGCGAACTCATCCCTGGCAAGCGTTCCAGTTTCTCGAGTGGCCCCTTTGCAAAATTAATTGCCCACCTCTGAACTATATTCTTGTAAAGATGACCTTAATTTTGTAAGAATTCCACTTTATCTTGAAATGATCCCGGTTGACTTTATTCACATAGTATTAAAATTACACGTATCTATCTTTTTAAAAAGTCACATTTCCTGATTTGTTGCATCTTATTTTTATTTTGTTTTCAAAATAAAGTTGCATCTAAATGTCGCAGACACGCCGGAGGGATCCAACTGTGGGCTCCATGGCGGCCCACTCACCGAAGCGGCGGTACTGGCCTCTCTCCAGCAAATACTGTTGTCCGTTATAATCGGGAAGCTCATAGAAGATCCAGGCGCCGTCTTGCACTTGGGCAGAGTGTACGCCCCCCGGAGACCAAACATCTGATAGTTGATTGATATCTTGGATGCACTCCAACATCTGACCACTGAAGTCAGGTTTCTCAAAAATGCGGATTCGGAATGTGCCAGAAAACTGGAAAACAAACAAGGAACTTGATGTCTTTTCTATAGTGAACATGTGTTTGAAACTGCATTTTTCATATTGGGCCCTATTTTTTGTTCCGGGCTCACGTCGAGTGCAAAGCTCAGTCTAACTGTGAGCATTGGTGGAGTTTTCTTTCTTTTGGTGTTTTGCTAGACTGCACCAGTAAAAATGGCTATAACTGGGCATTTATGCCTTTGTGTACCATTGCGGGATGGAACATAGTGTTTTCCCGGCCAATCCTGGCGGCATTCCTCATTTGCATAAAAATCAGGGCAGTAAGGAGTACATGGTCAAGTACACCATGCTTGAGCATTGCAAAAACAGAAATAAGACTCACTGGAGTTTCTGCATGAGATTGGGATGCAAACGGCAATATCTCCCATTTGGTAGTCAGCCGTGTGTGTGACATGTAATTGGAGACCCCCATTTCCCCAAAAGTGGCGAGGCTGCTATTAAAATATTTTAAGATGATAGTGATCTTAGTTTGTGAAGTTAATTGATTTCTACAATTAATGGTGCATCGAAGCTGCTTCGTGCGCCGGCACACCCGCAACACTGCCCCAGACACGCAAGACTAGACTTGCGCTGGCATGAAAATGAAGTTAGGGGCGGGCGCCAATCGACCAAAATAGGGCCCATATGATGAAACACACAAACACAACACGACCTATAAGCTGGATTTAAAACGTTTCAGGACTGTTGTCAATATATATGTCAAATCCATTATTTTCTTTTGAAATAATGCCTTTGAATCTAACACACTTTCCTAAGCATCTGTGCCACGCCTTGATGCACTCCAAGAAGGCTTCTTCTGGGATTCTCCGCAGCTCGGTCACCATCTCAATGTCATTCACTTCTTCAAAATTTGCCCTTTGGTGAGCCCTTGAACTTGGGAAAAATGAGGGAAAACAAACACACACACACACACACACACACACACACACACACACACACACACACACACACACACACACACACACACACGCAGCCAGGTCGGGCGACTAGGATTGCTCCGGCAAGACGATGTTCTTTTATAAAGTGTTGGGTGAGCAGGGCATTGTGAGCCTTGTGACGCCTTGTCACAATGAGTGGTTTTATGTTGAATTTTACATACAGCACTTTGTTAAACTCTGTGTGTGTACGTGTGTGTGTGTGTGTGTGTGTGTGTGTGTGTGTGTGTGTGTGTGTGTGTGTGTTTATGCATTTATACATAAAAATGAGTTGAATTAAAACACCCGCGAGTTGTCCTGCCACATTGGTTACCTCTTCTCGAGCACTGAATGAAGTAAGTACTGCAGGGTAGGATGTATTTATAGACCTGCTGGGGAATTCTCTGGACCACAATGAAGTCTTGAAAATTTGAGTTTTGGGTTTGACATATGTATTGTGACAGTAGTCCTGGAACTTTTCTGACACATCTGGTGCAGGATTTATTGTTTTTCTTGTTTAAGGTTCTCTTCAAATTTCTTTTTCATTGCGCTTTTTATGATTGTCGAAACATTGCTGTCACTGTTTATGACTTTATTCAGGTAAAATGCAAATGTACATTACAATTTTTTGAGACAAAAATATTTTTTTGCAAGTTATGATCATTAATTTTACAGTCACTTTATGACTGTAAAATTAATGATCATAACTTTTTCCCTCAAAATAACACCGTATGTATGCTAAAAAAATTGAGACTTTTCTCACCAATATTCTGAGCGTGTGTGTCAAACAAACAGCAGGAATAAAGTTGCTTTTGAGAATTTTTTTCAGAGCGTCTCAACGAAACATACATAGGGGATAATGTGGCAGGAGCGGACGCTGGGGGTGTTGCCCTTCCAGTGGTGGTAGTCTGGGTATTCGCCCCTGGTGAGGACGTACTGGCGGCCCAGGTAGTTTGGCCTCTCGAACAGAACCCAGGCCCCATTCTTGACACGCACTGAGCTGCAGCGACTCAAGTGACTACTCAGCTCTGGACAGTCACTGCTGCACTCGTAATAGTCACCCTGGAAGTTCTGCTCTTGGTAAAAGATGATCTGGCCACCAAAAATGAGGATGTTGTTGTTGCTGTATACCAGGGGCATCAAACTCAGACAAAAGTCGTGGGCCACTTTGTAATTATGTTTAGTAGGGTAGTTAGTTTTCCTCATTGGGCCGTTATGACGGCAAAACCAAATAAATGTTGAATTGATGGCTTACTCATTTTGAAATCAGGTGGCAAGGATAATAGGATGGTGAATTATTGTTCAAGTCACTGTAAAAAGGGTAATGAAAATAATGTTTTCAAAATCTCAACATTTTATTATTTACTACACATAAATATTTTACATTTTGGTGGAGATTTAGGCAAGGTTCAAGAAAGTTGGCAGACATAATTTGGATTTGGAGGCACACAAAATTATGTGGCAGGCCTTGAGTTTGACACCTGTGCTGTATACAGTGTACCCATGTATGATGAAATAATTGTTACAGTTTAACCCCTCCCACACACTCTTGACATTTATATTCATGAAAAGATTATTACATTTACTGTAACACACTTTTTAACACATACTAAATGTATATTTGTGCAGTGTGTAGGGGGAAAAAACACCGGCCAGTAAAACACAAATAAAAACACAATGAGAAAAGAATGTGACAAACAAACTAATTTTGTGAAGTGGGGGGAAATAAGGGTAAATTTGCAATTCACCAAAAGTCACGTTTTGTCATATTTATTAAAATTGTCTGTATGACCTTTCAGTAGTACATGATAATGATGAGCTATGGAAAATGTCTCTAGCCCCCAATCTTGTATCTTTAGTTTGATTTGCAACAAACCACCACACCTGAGGTAAAACAACCAACTAGACAGAAGGCATGCAATTACCGACACACTAACACAGCCTTATGTTGACCTGTTAGGTTGGGTTTCAATAGCTCTACTGAAAATCCTGTGGAATATCCACTGTTGTAAAACAATAATATACAAAAAAATATCCCTTATGCCAACAACTTGGCAACTAAAAAAGAAAATCATAAAAGAAGGAATTGGACAGAAGACAAAACAAGGGGGAAACAACATCTTAGTTTCCTTGAGAGATGGAGGGAGCTCAGGCACATGAGAGAATTCAGAAGCCAATGCAAAATTTGCAATATTTCTGCTTGACAGGTAAATTCATCATTCTTTAACATTTTAAAATTGATTGTACATTCCAAAAAAAAAAAGGCTTAAATATGATAACATTTAGTGTTATAGTAACACTCCATTACGATTATGGAGGCTAACGCTATCAACCTTGCAACTGTGGCTTATGTCGCCTTCTTTACAGTGCTAATGCTAGCTTAGCATTGGTTAAAGCTGGTTATGCATTTCCCGCAGTACACGTTCATAATTGAATGAATTTATAAATGGCCATGTTTGAGAATGACGCCCATCCACCACAAATCATTATATGTTCAGAAACTTTTCTTTTCTTGGATTTGTTCATGTTTTACCGACCAGGGGTCGAATAGTTTAACGGGAAGTCAAGTAAAAAAACATTTTGCGACAATAATTTGTTGCATGAGCCCACTTTTATAAATAACAGTATTCTGATTAATATTGCCTTTGTGGAATAAGATTTAAGCAGCAAAATCCACCCATTTTCATCCATTTCAGGGAGCGGCCATTTTGCCTCTGATTGTTGACTGAAAATTACACCACAGAGCCGAAGGGCTCAAGTAAGGACTAGAGACGTTACACAAATCTGGTCAAGTGTATCGACGCCAGTCAATGTTTTGGATTTTATGCAAATTTGGTGATCAAATGACTGTTATTTCAGAATCTTTGCGATCTGTCAGTGGCATATTGTTGTCCATCGTTGCACCCGTAAACATCACGTTATGTTTAATATTTGTCAGCTATTTTTTTTTAAAAGAATTTGTGGGGTTGAAATCATTACTTTTTCCAATCATTTTCGCTGTGGCGCTGATTGATTGTAGAGTAAATATGCAACTTGTTCAAATAGATTTTTCGCTCCATCTTCTGCAATTCTCCAATACTTATGCAATTAAGTTCAGTGAAACTTCAGTCGGAAAAATATGGAGAAATTTCTTTCATTTTAAAAAAATGCTTTACATTCTATTTTATTCTAAACTTATAACCACATATGTTTTATGCAGTACAATACTACAAAGTGCTATTTTTCTTTTTACAAAAAAAAGCCGCCCCCCACAAAAAAATGTTGGGATGTTTCTTGGCAGTGGGGGCTTGTATATATTAATGCCATTTACATTGATTTCATTGGGAAACGTTGATTTGAGAGCGACAAATTAAACTCAAAAGTCAAGGTAGCACTGTATATGGATTGATGGAATGAAAGTCATTCAAAGTAAATAAAAACAATTAGGCATGATATGGTGGCTAATTCTGACAAAATCTTCCTACCTTTCCCACTTGCTCCATGTTTGGGCTTCACACAATTTTTACCAACAGTTTGTATGTCAGAACGTTCTCCACAAGCCCGTTCTGGATTTATACATCCACTGGGCAGTGCGCAGCATTGTCATGACAATGGCTGCAGCATTTACTGCTGATCTCCACACTAGATAAGCCAACAGTGGGGTCATCAAAAACGAGCCAATGTCAAAGCCTAAAGAAAAGTATAAAAAGAGAATAATGCTCCCAGAAACATTCCTGAGCTCTGCCTAAAGTTCCATTGTACTTCTGCTTCCAAAAATGTTCACAGTTGAAACTGCACCCTCTAGTGCAGGGGTGTCCAACTCATTTTTGTTGCGGGCCTTTGGATGGCCGCTATGAATATTGGGAAACCATATAAATGTTTAATCACCTCCACATATTACATACACAGTGCACAACAAATTGATGGATAACTAGTTTTAAAATCAGAAGTCAAGAATAATGACTGTTATTGCGGATTACATATGACAATTTGAAATTTTGGTTCAGACTTTAGCAAGCATCATGGAACTTGACATGCTTGATTTGCTTTTGCGGGCCACATAAAATGATGTGGCGGGCCAGATCTGGCCCCCGGGCCTTGATTTTGACACCTGTGCTCTAGTGCATTAGCTGGCACAGTACATGAACGGCACGATGATGTGTTTGATACTTGATGCATCGGTGCTGTAACTACAGAAAACCTCCATATGTACCAAGGTTAATGACCACATCATATTGACTAAGAATTGCCCAGTCCAGTTTTTGCTATTTAAAAGCCTATGTGCAGTCCAATAATCTTTGAGGGTCAGTGCCCCAATCCAAAAGCCATCAAGTGTTTTGATTTTGTTTTGCTTGAATGCAGCACTAATCTAACACTATAAAAATAGAATAAAGTCGCCTACTTGGTCAGGTTTTTGTTGAGAGCATACACTTATTTGGTTAAAAAGATGTTTCTTTTTCATTTTTGACTTTTCAGTGTTTATCATTGCCTTAGAACTAAATGATCTTGTGGAAGGAGCCCACTCGTACATGACCCCCGCGCCAGCCATCACTACTCTCATAGACCAACGGGCACTTCTCGACGCACTCAGCCGACTGACCCTCCCCCAAAGTGCTGCTTGTTGTAAAACCAACATTAGCACTCATGCTAATGCAAACAGCACAGGGATTGTTCGATAAATATGTAATATTTAAATATCTAATATTGTAAATATACATTATTTGGCTGGTACACAATTTTTACCAACAGTTTGTATGTCAGAACGTTCTCCACAAGCCCGTTCTGGATTTATACATCCACTGGGCAGTGCGCAGCATTGTCATGACAATGGCTGCAGCATTTACTGCTGATCTCCACACTAGATAAGCCAACAGTGGGGTCATCAAAAACGAGCCAATGTCAAAGCCTAAAGAAAAGTATAAAAAGAGAATAATGCTCCCAGAAACATTCCTGAGCTCTGCCTAAAGTTCTATTGTACTTCTGCTTCCAAAAATGTTCACAGTTGAAACTGCACCCTCTAGTGCAGGGGTGTCCAACTCATTTTTGTTGCGGGCCTTTGGATGGCCGCTATGAATATTGGGAAACCATATAAATGTTTAATCACCTCCACATATTACATACACAGTGCACAACAAATTGATGGATAACTAGTTTTAAAATCAGAAGTCAAGAATAATGACTGTTATTGCGGATTACATATGACAATTTGAAATTTTGGTTCAGACTTTAGCAAGCATCATGGAACTTGACATGCTTGATTTGCTTTTGCGGGCCACATAAAATGATGTGGCGGGCCAGATCTGGCCCCCGGGCCTTGATTTTGACACCTGTGCTCTAGTGCATTAGCTGGCACAGTACATGAACGGCACGATGATGTGTTTGATACTTGATGCATCGGTGCTGTAACTACAGAAAACCTCCATATGTACCAAGGTTAATGACCACATCATATTGACTAAGAATTGCCCAGTCCAGTTTTTGCTATTTAAAAGCCTATGTGCAGTCCAATAATCTTTGAGGGTCAGTGCCCCAATCCAAAAGCCATCAAGTGTTTTGATTTTGTTTTGCTTGAATGCAGCACTAATCTAACACTATAAAAATAGAATAAAGTCGCCTACTTGGTCAGGTTTTTGTTGAGAGCATACACTTATTTGGTTAAAAAGATGTTTCTTTTTCATTTTTGACTTTTCAGTGTTTATCATTGCCTTAGAACTAAATGATCTTGTGGAAGGAGCCCACTCGTACATGACCCCCGCGCCAGCCATCACTACTCTCATAGACCAACGGGCACTTCTCGACGCACTCAGCCGACTGACCCTCCCCCAAAGTGCTGCTTGTTGTAAAACCAACATTAGCACTCATGCTAATGCAAAGAGCACAGGGATTGTTCCATAAATATGTAATATTTAAATATCTAATACTGTAAATATACATTATTTGGCTGGCAAATCACAACAATGTGACAACAAGCCGGTGAAACCGACAAAGCTACCATGCTAACCACAGCTGGGTATTCCTATCAATGTGTCTTCGCACTCAGGTTGCATTCTTCTTGCTATACAGTATGTTCGCATTTCAGCAACATTTTAAAAATGGACCATTGTAGGATTTTCCTTTTCGTTGAGGTCAAGGTTAAAATAGTTGTACAAGGTATCCCCCAATTTGCAATGAAGCCTTCACAAATGCAGGTTTTGGACATGAACGTTAGCCATCCCATTCTAAATTTACGTCATTGTTACACACTGCAGCTTTAAACTGGTTGCATACATTTATTTTTCAACACATTAACCAATTGTTGAATGTGAGAGAGGCCCCCCCACATGACTAGGAACCAATTGCCATTGAAAAATGGGTGCGCTGACCCCTTCAACACACTACGCCACACACAAAACATCTTGTCATCGTGCCAGTACCAAGACTGCCATGCGAGAAGCAGCTTTGAGCCAAAAGGCAGCCACAATGCTGAAAAACACAAACCAGATAGCATACCGCGAGACAAAGAAATCAAAAAACCAAGGCCAACTTTCAGTTTGTCTGGAATATACAGCGTGGCGTCAAACTCATCTCCTCGTCATATATATTGTGGTGAAAGTTTTGAGAGACACATTTTACAAATGATTGGTCCTCTATTTGCGTCTGGCAACAGCATGAACTTCAGGTGGCTTCCCAATCGGCTATCACTTTGTTACATCCCGAGAATAATCAGTTGACCACATCTGTAAGGATCTGCAACTGCAAAAAGTGAGCAGGTTTAACATTTCCGATTGTCAGCCCCAACACCTGACACAACTGGATAATCATTCAGATATCCGATAATCGGGCCTTTTATGACTTTCACCACAAATGAATGGTTAAAAAAAAAAAAACTCCAATTTGACTTGATTGCCGATCTGTGTGTACACTGCTTTAAACGTCCCTATATCAACCTATTCTCTTTGTAAGAAGGCCATGTGCATGAGTGTCCGCCCACCTGCTACAAATGGAAAGTCCCACCTTTTTGTCTGCTGATTACTGCTTGCTCACTGCACATCAATGCTGGTATTTGGATGGAGTGCAGCAAAATCCCACAGCCACTACAGAAACTTCCATCATCCTTTCCAGTTGGCTCACGTTCTTGACGTAGCAACATGACTTGATGGTCGTCGCGTCCCATTCACTTTTTGGGGTAGTCGGCCGAGCTCGGGGTGTATTAGGAGCTCGAAGAGCATCCAGCAGTCATTGTCCACTTTAATGGATTTGCATTAACTTAAGTAGGAGCTTAGATCCAGGATGTCAGTGTTGCACTCGTACAAGCTGCTGTAGAAGTTTGCAGCCTTGAAGAACACAATCTGGATGAAAGCTGGCTATTTTCAGTCCGTGTGTCATAAATACAAAATTTTACCAAAAGAATGTGAACATTCGTGCTCCCAACTGTCCCCATTTTCCATCATATTGCTGGCTCCCCCCCTGCCTGGTGCGCCTCTGCACTGGTTTATATTGACATGCAGAATGTGCAGACGAGGGGAAGCTATTATCATCTAAATTTGGCCATTTGCATATCAGAAAAATGGTCAAGTCTGATTTCCCTTGGTGCACGTGTGATGGCCTCATATAAAAAAAAAAATAAATAAAAGTCAAACGTCCTGACCTGACCCAGGATGAGTGGTTTTCACAGTATCTATGAACACATCTTGTGCTCTCTGAAAGTCATCAGATAGATAGACAATCTATCTCTCAATTACTGTCCTTGAGGAAGAAATGTGACAAATGCATGGCTGACACAAAACAGTCTGAAACAGAATGAATAAAAACATGAAGTGGAATCAGCTCATGCACATTTTTATTAAACGTCCATCAATGACTTATGTCACACCAATAGGTGGCAGCGTGTTACTTATAAATTGTAAACTTCAAGTGCAACAGTAGCTTCGAAAGCAGGAGCAGTTTCACTGCCCATGAGAATAATGTGACATAACAGCATGGTGAAAAAGTGTCTGGTTCCTTTAGCTTGATGCCCAGTCTTATCTGCAACAGTTACTTAAGGCCTTACTGAAAATAATGTTAGTTACGCAGGCATATACGTGACAAATACGCCAATGTTTGCATGCGGTGGTTGCGGACCAAACTATTAGGCGGCCTGTGCCCGAGTAGAGCCTCGGCACAACCTTCCCCAAGAACATATTTTTCATTTTTCCCAAAAGTACACCTGCTGTTTGAAAAACTGAAGAAAGTCCAGAGGCACCAAAAAACATTTGAATCCGCACCTGTGAATTATTACAAAAAGCTATTTTTTCACCCTGCAATAAGAATAGCAGCCAACAAAGTGCTCGTGCCCACAGAGAGTACACAAAGAGGCCTAGGTGACACGTTCTCACCCATAGGAAAGGTGGCCACAATTGGCACTGAACCAGAGGCATACAGTCAGGAATAATAACTATTTGCAGAGCGATTGAACAAACATTATAGGCCTGTATGCTGCGCTGCTGAGTAAGATGTTCCACACAAAGGCTCCATAGATCATTTGGCTATCATGACCAACTATAAAAGGTTTCAGCAGCTGGGCACAAGCAGCAGTGCAATCAGGGATAGGATTAGACATCAGCATGGGCAGAGTATGCGAAATGATTTTTTTTTTCTTTTTATGTAACATGGTTGTTGAGATTCTGAATGGCTTTTTTCAATGTTTTTGCAGATCATCTTCTATGAGGACAGAAACTTCCAAGGTCGCTCCTATGAAACCAGCAGCGACTGCGCCGAGTTGACCTCCTTCCTGAGCCGCTGCAACTCATGCCGGGTGGAGAGCGGTTGCTTCATGGTCTATGAGCGCTCTAATTTTATAGGCCACCAGGTGCTGGTCCGCAGAGGAGAGTACCCCGACAACCAGCGCCTTATGGGAATCAGCATGAGCGACTGCATCCGTTCCTGCCGTATGATCCCCATGGTAAAATCGTAAAGTTGGTGTCTGCTATTGGCGCATCATTTTTTTTTTTTGGAAAGCTCCCAACTGGGAAGCAAAATGTTTCACAAAGCTAACCCCCTTCTAAGCTATGTTCCTCGCTTTACAGCACCGAGGTCCATTCAGGATGAAGATATTTGAGAGAGAGAATTTTGGAGGCCAGATGAACGAGTTGCTTGATGATTGCGACAACATCCTGGACACCCTGCGCATGTCAGACTGCCTGTCTGCTCAGGTGTTGGAGGGCCACTGGCTGCTGTATGAGCAGCCCCAATTCAGGGGCAGAATGCTATACCTTAGACCAGGGGAGTACAGGAGCGTGAGAGAAATGGGGACGGGTCCGGTTGACATGAGGATTGCGTCTATCAGACGCATCATGGAAACATGTTAAGAGGCTCCTACTTTGAAAATGTAACAATTCATATCAATAAATGGTTCATAACTTATAACATGACTATATGGTTATTGTTGATTATCCACGTCAATCTGGTCCTGTATGTATATGTAAGACAATTGACTTGTGTTAATTGTTTGTCTTTTAATGAAGATGCTGTGTAATCTATTAGGAAGATATTGTATTTGGAAAAAGTAGAAAATATTAGTTGTATTTCTTTTTGTAGCCACACCATGCTACAAATAAATTATCTTTATGATCAAATAATCATTGTTGCTTTCATGATATATTACGCATCAGTCATTTTGACAAGACATGCATACTGTACATACCTACTACACACAACCGACAAAGCTGGAAAACACACAAAAACGCTTTCCGTCGGCTTCCCCAACCCACCTCCTTCCCTCAGTGATAGTCCAGGTGCAATGTAGAGGTGTGGAGCACCTTGAAAGGCTGAAGTCGCCACCCAGTGGTTCTGGGCTGTTACGTATTCCCCACCTGAATAGCGCCTCCCCTTCCACATATGCAAGTATTTTGAGTCTTTCTTGTTAATGTCTCCAATTAATTTCATGTGGTGTATTTTGTGTTTTTTTTCCAATCCCATACTGTGCCCCTCCCTTACAGGAGCAAAGCTTGGGACTTGTTTTTTTCACTCCCCTTTCCTTGTTTTTCTTTTTCATCTAAGAAAATCAGGGCGATGTCTCAGGCTTCTCCATTCTGTCTCCATCTGTTGGTGATTGTTTTCATGTCTCTGGGACAGGTTGTAACTGTTGATTGAATTTCGTTGCTCTGTCCTCGTGCATGTGCAATCACAATACATTTGATTCCATTCCATTTGAAATTCAAAAAACAATCCTCAAACATTCTGCAGGGAACAGAATCACTCATTCTGAACACTTTAAATATTTTCACTAGTTACTTCTGGCATACTTTCTGAGGGTTTTTGAGGTGGCTGATGCAGGGTAGTGGGTATGGGTGGCCAAACAGGATTTTGCACTTATCTTCCATGCTCCACATTGGCAATATATATTGTACTTATAAAGAATTCTATAATTATATTTTACATACATACATACATACATACATACATACATACATACATACATACATACATACATACATACATACATACATACATAGATCTCTTGGACATCTTGCATGCTGAAAAAGTGTGGGCGTCCCGGCACATACATACATACATACATACATAGATCTCTTGGACTTGGTCATCTTGCATGCTGAAAAAGTGTGGGCGTCCCGGCTCTCGTCTTTAGATAATACGAGCAAACGGTCTGTCAAGTGTGCCAACTTATGTAAAATATTAGTCAGCAGTAGTATTTTGGGATAGCTGTGGGCCTATTGAAGAGCTGGGCCGCACGTCCACAGACGTTACATGAGGAAGAACCTTTGATTGCATCAAAGGACCCAGCTTGCGAATTGCCTTCCTACAATTTGGAAAACAAGTGCCGTCGAGTTGCGCTGGAAGTGATATCATACGGCCAAAAATGCAGCTTTTGGAGGATGCAGTCTATGAATTTGGACATAGCCCTTGCAATTTCTTTCAAGCAGAGGCACAGGCACAGGTACAGGCACAGGCATAGGCATAGCCAGAAAAGTTTCATTGGAGTGGCAAGGGCAGGGGTCGGCAACCCAAAATGTTGAAAGAGCCATATAGGACCAAAAAAAAAACCAAACAAACAAAAACAAAACTGTCTGGAGCAGCAAAATAAATAAATAAATAAATGCCTTATAACGAAGGAAACACATGCTGTATGTATCTATGTAAGCTATATTAGCCTACTATCAAAATGACTTAAGTTGGCTACAAATTCACAATGAGCCTTCATGATTAAATGTTTTTTTCCCCTGCACTGCATCCTGTAGAGCAGGGGTGCCCAACCTTTTTCGACCGAAGATCTACTTTTCGATCAACCAACCTACCGCGATCAACTCATTACTGCACGCACTTACCAACGCATGCCTACCTACCTTCGCCGAGACCTGACGCGGAGGCATGGGACGCACTTTTGCAGCGTGTTCACTATCGTAGCTCACATGTACCGTTTTAAAATGCTTCTTTCGGCCCTCCACATTCTCATTCTTTGCCAGTACCCTCAGTGAATTGTACATGAAATGCTTTTTCTTTTTTTTTTTTGCAACAGCCACCTGCCTGGCATCCCGCTTTGCTAATATAAAACGTGTCGCAGGCTATGACGCAAATCTTTGTTGACAGACTCGTTGAAATGTAATATTTATTCTACACATTTTTACGGCATTGGAAAACATTAAGAATGTTTATGTCATGTTTTTCCTCTCACAGAAACCATATTAAAACAAACAAAAAAATTTCCCTCCCCCATCGTTTTCCATTTTGAAAAACTTTTGAAAAAGCTCCAGGGACACACAGACACACACACACACTAAAGAGCCGCATGCGGCTCTGGAGCCGCAGGTCGCTGACCCCCGGGCTAGGGTGACGCAACACCTTAGTGAGCGGTGGCAGTGCGTGCATCTGTCATTCTTTGTCACACCATGCACAGTTAGGGGTTCAGGAAATACAATTCATACATATCCAGAACAATGCTCATCACACTCATAATAAAGCAGGATTAAATCAAAGTTAAAAAAAAAAAAGCAACATCTTAATTTACTAGAGAATGCCTTTTTCTTTGTAGTGGCTTTTCTTTCATAATCTCGTAGTCATCCCTCACTCTCTCTCTCTCTCTGTCTCTCTCTCTCTCTCTCTCTCTCTCTCTCTCTCTCTCTCTCTCTGCCGCTCATTGCCACATTTGCAGCAGAGGTTCAGCGACGAACTTGTAAATTCAAGTAGAGTAACAGAAACTAACATGTTTGTCACAACCCCTCCACCCCACATCAACACATAACAACTAAACATCCATAACCCAGTTCATACATTGTGTTGTTGCAGTGCTTAAAAAAATCTATTAAACGTTCCAGTGAAGCAAAGCAAAGTTACAGAAAAACAAAAAGACAATACACGTGTTTATTTTAGTTTTCTTTAGCACAGCTTTTTTCAGATTTTTTTTCATCTGACATCACTGTCGTCTGCATTTAAAAAAACCCTTGATCACGACAAGAGTGAAATAGGTTTTATTTTTGTATTTGTAGATACTTTCAGAGTATTCTTAGTGCATGTGTGCATAGTTTATAGAGTAGCTGTTAGTTCCATTCTAAAACGTGCTCAACATTTACAGCTAAAAATGCAAAGGGCACAGTATTGCCTTCAGTTTCAGTTGCACTATTTAAATTTGAATGTTCTATCATCTTAATTGTCTTTATTATTCATTTGTATATACCTTAATAGGGCTGTAACCTATAGCAGTTACACAAGAGCAATTGTTGTTGCATAGCCTACACCGACTCATTAAGTGCTCAGCATTCATCTTATTCATGATATGCATAAAACCATAAAAACCAGCGAATGCGGAAAATGAAACCTGAATTTAAAACGTAGGTGTCCATGCCAGGCTTATGTTTGTGCGTGTGCATTCATGTGTGTGTTGGGGGTTATAACCCCTGCCCTCCCTATTGAACCCCCCCATTACCCCAGGTAATACGCTCGAGAATTAGCAAGGTTTACTTGCATCATCTAGAAAATGGGAAGCTCTACCGTATGCGAAACCTATCATCCTTGGTGCATCTAATGAGCCCAATAGCAGTTGTTTGCTTTGTATTCTTTATTTACTCTGCATCTATCCATCCATCGATTTTCCCAAACCGCTTATCCTCACTTGGTTTGCTCAGCTGTCTTGGGACGGTTGGCGGGGTACACCCCGAACTAAATATAGCAACATAAAATTGATGGGAAAAAAATGAAGGCATGACTCCTGTCAAAGGAAAATTCTGCGTGGACAGTATGACCCTGTGGGTATACTATGTGTAAGCAACTCAACACTCTATAGGCTTTTAAAGTCGGGTGCTTGCTCAGGACTTTAGACAATAGGGAGCATGCAGTCTTTGTCTCTTGTCAGGTATAAATGTTGCATGTTCAGACAGAGAGGTATCAGTTCAAGCACAGTTCTTTGAGCGATCCAGTAGACCACTACTATCAACATGGGCAAGGTAGGTCAAACCACCACCACTGGTGAGTTCATTTTGTTATCACTGCAAATTAAAATAATGCCTGTCCCCCACCAAGATCATCTTGTTTGAGGAGAAGAACTTCCAGGGTCGCTCTTACGAATGCATGAGCGACTGCGCCGACATGTCCTCCTACCTGAGCCGGTGCCAGTCCTGCAGGGTGGAGAGCGGCTGCTTCATGATCTACGAGCGTCCTAACTTCATGGGCAACCAGCACTTCCTGAGGAGGGGCGAGTACCCCGACTACCTGAATCTGATTGGCCTGAGCAGCGGTATTAAGTCTTGCCGGATGATCTCCATGGTAATTCTAAAAACAAAACAAATGTTGAACGAATGAATTTTCCTGCTGTTTTCTCTAATTCCTGATTTTGGTGTCATCTCCCAAAAAAAGCACAGAGGTCAGTTCAGGATCAAGATCTTTGAGAGGGAGAATCTGAGCGGTCAGATGAACGAACTGATCGATGACTGCGACAACATCACGGAGCGCTTCGGCATGAGCGAATGCTTGTCCTGCCAAGTGATGGAGGGCAACTGGCTGCTGTTTGAGCAGCCAAACCTCCGGGGCAAGATGCTCTTTGTGAGGCCCGGCGAGCACCGGAGCTTCAGAGAGATGGGCCTGAGCAACACTCGTTTCATGAGCATGAGACGCATCACCGATTCATGCCAATAATACATTGCTGCCCAAATAAACGCTATGAATTTCTAAATTCTGTTTCTGTCGCACTTTATCGTCATCGGCCAATGTGGGGTTTTGAAATGGAAACTTATGTAGACTTCTGCTTATGTAGACTTCATACTAGGTAACCTACAGTACTTGTATTAATTCAAATGGTCATGGTTTAAATCACACAGACAACACAAGTCATTTAAGATTCACAAAAAAAAAAAAATCTCACTAAAATGAAACTTTAGCTTTCCAGTAGATGCAGAAACAATTGCACAGCCACAATTCACACAAAAGGCTGCTTCACAGCACAGGGAATGGATCACGGAACCAACAACTTTTGCAGAAACCTCCCTGGCATGTTCACACCACGGGAACGGTTCAAATGTAAAGTTCCTAGAAATTCTTCATGTCTGAACAGAGCGCTCGGTGTTTCAAAATGGCCCAGGAATTTCTTACTTAGGAGTGCTGTCTGAAGCGTTCAACAACAGTTCTGAATGGATGACTTACGTTTGCACTGACTACTGTCTTGATTTGTCATTGTTGCATCGTGTTATAAGCAGGAGGACTCCCAGACAAAAATTTACCACAGATGTGGTGGGATCATGAGGTGTAGGCTGTGTTGTTGACATTTTTCCCTCTGAGGTGTCCCGAGCAAACCAGAAGATGCAATTAAAACATGAACGTCGCGATCAAAATATAGAACATAAATTTCGGTGAGCTCATGAGACGCGTTCTCATGTGATCAAATGAACAAGACACCCCCAAAAAAAAACAAGATAAAGAAAAAAGGATACCGTACCTCTGTTGTGTATTGATTTAGAGTAAAGATTCGAAAATAAGTCCTTAATAGAGTCATCGGGGATCTTCCTTGTTTATATTCATTGACACCATGTTTTTTTTTTTTTTACTCGTTTGAATTTTACAGTCCTCTTCACTTCTTTCAATTGTATACATTACATAAATTTGGTAAAACTTTTCTGAAGAGTTGAAGAAAGAGAACAACTTTAAGATGATGCTTAAAGTTTACAAATTCATTACGATGTGAAGGACTTCCGGATGTTACCTGATGTAGTTCACTTCACCTACCAGTCAGTTCCTCGACTATCCTTACACAGTAAGTTCAATTTTCATCTCATGTGACTTTTTAAGTACTCTAGTGCGTTCATTGTCATATATCTTTGCAAACAAAAAGAGTGTCTAATTCGATTTCTGTTTGGATAATATGAATAATAAAGATATCATGCCTGCACTTGTTGGCTACTTTCCTGCATTCGGGTCACCTTGTCTGCCAATGCTCACTCCCTCATATTGTAAAATAGGAATATTGAATACAAATTAATCAGACAATTAAGATGGTAGTCCATTCAAATTTGTATCCATCCAGAAATGTGATCAAGTTTGATCAACCCACCTCTCTGTAATCCTGAAAAGGATAGCAGGTTTTAAAAATTCGATGGAAGGGTATTCCCTTCAGGTCGCTGATAGTGTAGTGGTACACTCGCCTGACTTGTGGGTGGGCAGTGTGGCATCGGTTTCCACTCAATGACAGTGTGGATGTGGATGTGAATGGTTGTTTCTCTCTATATGTGCCCTGCAAGTGACTGGTGACCAGTTCAGGGTGTAGTCCGCCTTCCACCTGACGTCAGCTGGGATAGGCTCCAGCAGCCCCCCTCCTCCCCTCGCCCTCCCCGCTCGACCCTGTTTAGGATAAATGGTGTTGAAAATGGCTGGATGGATGGTATTCACTTTTGAGCTTGTCCCTCACTACATAGCCACTAATTTTCAATACCATATCCTGCAGATTAGAAAAAATATAATAATTCAGATCCCAACCCTTTTTTTTTCTCTGGCTGTCAATGCAAAATAAATTAACAAGGAAACAGCTAAAATTTGAGAATCCGCTATCCACATCAGGTTGATGCCATCACAGATGAGTTGAGTCAGACCTGATTAACAGAAAAGATGAAAAGTCTCAATGTTCACCCATTTGTTTCACATGTCCACGCATAGATACCCACATGCCCGCACAATCCACCAGAGAAAAAAACACTTTTGTTTGTCGGCTAGTGCTTTGTATACAGATGTGTCGGACTATTGTTGTTGCCGTACAAAAGGATACGCATACCTATAAATCGCCAGTTTGCGGATCAGAGCGTCATGCGGCGTGTTTCGAGTGAATCAGATGGCAATGTCCCACTCACTTTTGGAAGCCCCCAAAAAGTTGCTCATTGTTTTGTTTCCGTGTAGGAAACATGATTTTAATGTCTTCCCTCGGATGCAGTCAAAGTGGAAATGGGACGAATACCACTCAGGACTCCATAGGGCCTCCATGCCGTGTTGCTGTGTCAGGGCTTCACACACAATAGTGGCCACAGAGTCTTTGGGTTTGGTCAGGTATAAAAGACATAGTGGCGTCGTCACCAAAGCGGCATCACAGGTGGAGGAGGAATCCACACAGAAAAGATAAGCATGGGAAGGGTAAGCGCACAAATCCATACGTTAAGCAATCTGTTTTTTAAATCCTTTTTAAACTCAATCATCCGTTTCCCAGATCACCTTCTTTGAGGAGAGGAACTTCCAAGGACACTCCTATGAGTGCTTGAGTGATTGCTCCGACATGTCATCCTACCTGAGCAGGTGCCAGTCCTGCCGGGTTGACAACGGCTGCTTCATGGTCTATGAGCGGCCCAACTTCCTGGGTAACCAGTACTTCATGAGGAGGGGCGACTATGCCGACTCCATGAGCCTGATGGGCATGAGGGACTGCATCAAGTCTTGCCGTGCTATCCCCATGGTAGGCGAGATAACGTTCACACATCACATTTCTTTCAGGAAGAATGACAAAGGATATTAAAATATGCACCATTTGTCCCGAAGCAGCACAGAGGCCAGTTCAGGATGAAGATCTTCGAAAGGGAGAACTTTAGAGGCCAGTCCCATGAGCTGCAGGAAGACTGCGACAACATCATGGACCGTTTCCATATGAATGACTGCATGTCCTGCCAGGTGATGGATGGCCACTGGCTGCTGTTTGAGCACCCCCAGTTCCGTGGCAAGATGATGTACGTGAGGCCCAGCGAATACCGTAGCTTCAGGGAGATGGGCCTGAGCAGCATGAGGTTCATGAGCATGAGGCGCATCTTGGACATATGAAAGTTGTTCTGTGGTATGTTTCTCTAAAGAGACCAGAAATAAAACTTTTCTCAAAAATTATTCTGTTTTTAACATATTTTTCACAACAGGGGAACTACCGTATTGGCCTGAATATAAGACGGCCCTGATTATAAGACGACCCCCTCTTTTTCAAGACTCAAGTTTGAAAAAAGACTTTTTGAACACCAAATTAATTTTTATACAGAAAATAATTACAGTACCTCTTAAATAAATGGTTATAACAATATATTTGAGAGAAAAAGCATGTTGTTTTGCCTCATTCAAATCTTAATATCTGAACATTTAAATATGTAAGCTAAAGTGCAATCACATTATGTTTAGCTGAATGACAGCTCTGCTGATGGGCATCCCGTCCTTTCATTTCTCGTCCACGTACGCGCACACCCTCTTGCCAAGTTCTTGGAAGCGGCCGCTCTGAGGACCACGGAAAGCTTTTCTCTGACTGTGAGCATTTTTTAGGTGATCTTTTTGAGCTCTCCATCTCCGTACATTACACTCTGTGACACCATATTTCACAGCCGCTTTGCAATTGTTTGAAGACTCTGCCTCATTTATCACCATCATCTTGAAGTTTACATCATAACTTCTCCTCAGCTGCCGGTTAACTTGGCCGATCTTCGACCCACTTTTCTCCAGATTGTCGCTACGTTTCTCCATTTTCTGTTATCTCTTCTATTATTTTCTTCTCTTTTCTTTCTTACCGCTATTTTTATTTTTATGCTTTGTGACAGAGGTTCGCTTTGGCCTGGGGGGGTCAAGTTCAGCATTCGCTTCAATGATATCTGGCGCCATCTAGCGTCGTGAATGGGTATAATGTCTAGACCCTGGATATAAGACGACCCCCACTTTTTCAGTCTCATTTCAATGCAAAAAACACCGTCTTATATTCGGGCCAATGCGGTAGTAAATCAGTGTATGTTCATTCTGTTTGAGACACCTGCATCATTTATGGTCACAATGCCTATCCCAGCTGTCTTCGGGCAGTAGGTGGGGGACACCCGGAACCGGTTGCCAGCCAATCGCAGGGCACACAGAGACGAGCAACCATCCGCGCTTACACTCACACCTAGGGACAAATTAGAGTGTCCTGTGAACCTGCCATGCATGTTTTTGGAATGTGGGAGGAAACCGGAGAACCCACGCAGGCACGGGGAGAACATGCAAACTCCACACGGGAAGGCCGGAGCCGGAATCGAACCCTGCACCTTTGCATTGTGATGCCAACATGCTAACCAGTTGACACCGTCCGACCTCAATTTTAAGCATGATATGAATTTTAGGCCATATCGCCCAGCCCCAAGTCAAACTGTTGTACTGTAAAATATTTACAATGCAATTAATTTTTCAGAGGCAACTAGACTGTTTGGCTTCAGTATCTTAAAGCGATGTGGAAGTTTTTACTGAGGGATTTATGTCTGGAACCCATCTAAAAGACCACAGACAATTCTCAACTATACCAGTCTTCATAATGGTTGTTAACCACATGGTTGAACCCATTCACCTGTGAACAACATGGCCAAAAATGCTTCCTATTGTTAAAGGTTAAATGTGAAGTCATTTTAGAAGATCCCAAACGAAATATTTAGATTTCAAGTAATTAAACAAAATACATTAAAAATGCTGAAAAAAAAATTATATTTTGTAAATTTGACCAAGTAATGGTTTTCCTAAAATGACATCCTGACAAGTGACAAACCCGGAAGTGTGTCACTTCAAGACAACAATAGCAGTTCTGACAATGGAAATTGTGCAAAGCCAATCAGAAATCGATTCAGAAAGTGACGTTCCACACTTATCTGAAGAGTTGAAGGAAGGAAGGTTGTTGGAAAGATGTATGTTGGACTGTACATATATGAGCCAGAAACTCATGATGTGGAAAATGTGCCTGAACGGCCGGACATGGAGTTCAAGTGGGGAAGAGACCCATCGGGACTGGAAGAATGGTAAACTATATAGGCTGCAGTTATTAGCCAAGCGTTATTGTTTGCACTTCGATGCTGTGCCGTGCTGTAAATTGCACACAGTGGGATTACCTACTTGGTCCATGTTTTCCCGCTAGTGCTGAGAGCACATGTTATCGTGGGTTGTTGTCCTACATTGCCATTGCTAAGGTAGTTCTGTTGCGTTGTCGGCCACTCCATACATTATATGGGCAGCATTGTTAGTTGCAAACCATTACAGAGGATCCAAGCACTCATATAGTATGAATGTTTTCGTACAGGATTACATCCATGTACACGTATAATACTTTGAATCAAATATTTTGATAAACAGCAGCCAGAGTTATTCATTGACTATTACAACAAGCTTTTTTGGAAATTCGGTTGAGAAAACACAGGTTTTCAAAGTGCTTGTAACAAATAATGCTCGTAGACACAGGCGTGAAATTCATTCGCTTTGCGAGAACGAAACTAGATCATTCCAATTTTCTGGTCCATTTACATGCCCTATTCTTTTCTTTTAGCCATTCAAACAACTGCTTGTCTGAATGTGAATGTGTGCATTGCTACACGGCGCCGAGGCATTTTGCCAAATAACTCGGTATTAATGGCAAAAAGCAGTTAACGGGACAATCAACAATGTATTACAATGGCCAACTGGCGACTCGGCATTCTGGAAATGATGCCACTCACCAGAGATTGCCAAATAAAGGCATTTCCGTTGTTAATCGCATTGCTATTGGTCTAACTATGAACCTGGGTGGGAAAAGCATTTTTGAAATTGTTTTAGCCCAAGTATTACTCAAAAGATTGTTGGCCAAGTTTACTTCACACCTGACCTTAAAAAAAAGACTTTTGTCGTAAATGACTACATAAGATAGAAGTAGACTATGAGAAAGTAAAAGCAAAGTACAGTAACAGCAAAGACGATGACCATATTAAACTCAGCAAATTTGTTCCTATTTGATTATAAGTGGTCATTGTTAGGAATATGTATGAATTTTATTTCATGAAACACTGACTGTGGATGGTATGATAAAGAATGACGCACACACGCATGCACGGAAACCCCTCGTCACCATTACAGATGTGTTGTGTAACTCTGCCCACCCCGCTGAAAGTTTTCTGGCTACACCCCTGCTAACAAGCTAATTGAGAAGCTCACTAAGTAGTACACAAATTAGTTAAATGCATCCAAATAAAGAAAACAGAAAGCAATAAAAGCGTTCAAGTTTCAAGCAAAATATGACAAAATATAATTTTGGAAGAAGTCAAATTCTTTGAAAATATTCTCACATGAATAAACAATGGACAAGTTACCAAATCAACCACAGTGGACTACTGAAACAAGAATATGTTGAGGGTTTCAATACTTCATTGTTGTTGAGCCCCTTTTCATTTCCAGGTTGATGGAATGATTGAATTAAATGCAGCTGTCAATGAGAATGTACAGCAGCTACAGTATTATTGCCGACATTTCTTTTCTTTGTTTTCATCAGCTCTAACTCCACATACAGCACAATGAAACCAGCCATTTTATTCATTTCAAACACAAAGGGTTTTGTGTTACCTGGTCTTCAAGGGCCTAGCCACAAGACCACCATGTTCGACATGTGACACGGGCCCCTGCCGCACTCCATAGCAAGTTGCTGGCTCAGGGCTTTACACAATGGAGACCCGCTGACGCCGTGGGGCGCACTCAGGTATAAAAGCGAGGGTTAAATGGAAGGGGACAGCAGCAGTTCAGTGCTAGCAGCAGCAGCTCACCTGACAACCATGACCACCACTGACATGAGCATGGGCAAGGTAAGCAATTGATATCGCTTTTCTATCCCTTTAATTCACAGCAAGAATGGATCACACACAGGGCTGGGGGGAGGGGCTATAACCTCATCAGAAATCAGTGTAGCCCCAGTTAAGCGCCTCCAGCGTTGTTTAAAATATAATTTTTAAATATTTTCTTCAGCTCCAAGAGAAAAAAAAATCCTAGAGCCCTCCCCAAATCAAAAAATTTTAGACTTTTTAAGGGTCACCGTGGGACCCTTAAAAAGTCTGAAATTTGATTTTATGACATTCACATTGCGTTCAAAAGCCATGGGCAATAAATATATTTTCTTCATGTCGTGTTTTTGGAAAGAGGATAACAATACACAGTTTTGCAATATTGCGGTATTTAGAAATGTATCCATACTAGCCAGTCCTGATGTTCATATTTAAGGAAGGAAAGGTTTGACAGGATTTACATTTGATCACAGTGGCCTTAAATGTAATACCCTGACTCAGAAATGTCTTTCAGTCCATATGAATTTTAGTTATAATGCGTGCAGGAGTGTAACACAAGGTTGACAGTGGATGTGTCATCTGTTTGGATCAGGGATGATCGGGCCCATGCCCGCACACTGAGAGGGGGTGAATCATCTCTGCTGTGTATTTGAAAAGGGGTGCAGGGCTAAACAAGTTCATGGAATGTTACTGAATCCCTTTTTTGCTTTCACAGATTATCTTCTATGAGGAGAAAAACTTGCAGGGTCGCTCGTACGAGTGCATGAGCGACTGCGCCGACGTGTCCTCCTACCTGAACAGGTGCCAGTCCTGTCGGGTGGAGAGTGGCTGCTTCATGATCTATGAGCGTCCCAACTTCTTGGGCAACCAACACTTCATGAAGAAGGGCGAACATGCTGACTCCATGAGTGTGATGGGCATGAGTAGCGGCATCAAGTCCTGTCGCCTCATCCCCATGGTGGGTAGAAAGGGTCGAGGGTTTTATTTGGGTGCTGTCATATTCATTCCTTTTAATTCAGGGGTGGGTAAATTATGGTTTTACATTATCTAGCGCCCTCTGTTGAATTAGTTTATGGGTAGCTGTTTTCCCTTAAATGTATTTATTTTTCTCCTGATACAACGATTTCCTCCCACATTCCAAAAAACATGCATGGTAGGTAATTGAACTATAGATTGTCCCTACATGTGGTGAATGTGAAGGGTTGTCCATCAATGTGTGCCCTGTGATTGGTTGGCAACCAGTTCAGAGTGTACCCCACCAACTGCCCAAAGTCAGTGGGATATGCTCCAGCATGCCCGCGACCCTCATGAGGATAAATGGATGAGATGACGGACAGATAGATAAATAGATATACACATCGGGGGGTTTGTGTGTGATTGACAAAAACATTTCAATTGATATGGATGGCAGAATAAGAACAACATGAATGAAAGCACCTTTTCATAAACCTTTGGAAATGTTAATTTTTTTTCTTTTTTTTACTCCCCTCAAACAGCACAGAGGCCAGTTCAGGATTAGGATCTTTGAGCGGGAGAACATGAGCGGCCAGTCCAACGAGCTGCAGGAGGATTGCGACAACATCATGGAGCGCCTCCGCATGAACGACTGCATGTCCTGCCAGGTGATGGAGGGCCACTGGCTGCTGTTCGAGCAACCCAACTTTCGTGGCAAGATGGTGTATGTGAGGCCCGGCGAGCACCGCAGCTTCAAGGAGATGGGCATGAGCAGCACTCGCTTCTTGAGCATGAAACGTATCTTGGACATATGCTAGATGTTCAATTTTTCAAATTAAAGCAACACAAACATATCAGATTACCTTCCTGTGTCCCTTTCTGTCCTTTTATACTCTTTGTTTGTATATGTAATGATACTACTACTAATAATAATATGTGATATGTTATAATGAGTCAAAATCATCTTAACGTTGTGTAAGTACAGTACCTCATTAGGGTGCTAAATAACTAAATAATCTTAAACTAAAAATAATCAGCTGGTTAACCAAACTAAGCTACATTTTCAGCAGGTAATTCAAGCAATCAAGCTCACAACTAAAAGTTCAATTATAATAAAATACAAATAGAGTACAAAATTCTAACAAAAAAGCTATCCATAGTCACACGAGCTCGTTAAGTGGCTAGAAACTAGCTCGCCGACAAGCTAAATATCTCGCTCATTAGATAGTAACTAATAATAATAATAATAATAATACATTTTATTTATAAGCGCCTTTCAAAATACCCCAGGACACTTTACAATCAAAAGAGCAAAAAAAACACGGATAAAATTATAAATAATAAAAGCGATGAGTTTAAACTGTATATGCGATTTTAAATAGGTGGGTTTTGAGATGAGTTTTGAATATAGGAAGAGAGTCAATATTTCGGATGTCGGGTGGGAGTGAGTTCCAGAGTTTGGGGGCAGAGCAGCTGAAAGCTCTGCACCCCATCATGCTGAGACGGGCAGAGGGTTGTTAACATATAAAGTACATTTTTAATGTAAATTAAAACATTTGATGGGTATGGAAAATTATTAAAAGGTATGTATCATACTATTTTAAGCTTTCCACAGTCTTCTATCGGTATATGATTACATCACATACATATAACAACACAATAATACCGGTAATAAGAATTACATGATATGGGCCTTTAAAACATTTGTACTCAACAATACAAAAAAATACAGAATGATATAAAGAAATATAGTGAACTACTACTGTACAAATTTCCCATTCAGTGATAATACAATTGGGACACCTTAAAATGTAAATGTGATCATTTTGAAGTAATGATCCCACATACGGTGTTAACATCGCTGCAGCTTACAAACTCGCATGACAAAATGACAGATTGTTGATTTGGTCCAGTGGTTCCACAGCTAGCGAGTAGCAGCTAAATTGTTAATGAAGCCTGTGCAAGCGCATTTTCATACTTGCCACCAGGGCTGCAAGGGGATTTTGGAATAAAATGTATTTAAAACAACAACAAAAAACACATGCAGTGTATCTACCCCGGTCAAGGACTACGCCTCGAATTGATGTCCAAAAACGTTTAATTGTGGAACACCGTGAAAACGAAAACACATTTCAAACAACAATCAACATTACAATAATCTATTTTACAAGACATTAAATAAATAAGCACAAAATGACATACCGTGTGCACCTCGGTAAACCGAAAGTAGATAATTTCGAATACAGTCGACCAGACGGTGGAGTTCGTTTCTCCCGCAATCTCTTTCTCGATCTCTCTTTCTTAATCTCTCTCCCTCATTCCCTCCCTATTCACCACACGTGATCCTGAACCGGAAGCGATCTTTGAGAAATATTCTGAAAATACTTCTTGAAAATATTTGAAGAGAAAGCATACATATCAAAGTTCATATGGAAACATAAAACACGTTTACAACTGAACATCAAATAAATTATATTTTCGTTTTCATGGCAACCAATGACTCAATATTGGCGCCAGTTACATGCAGGAGGATTACTCTGGAAAAACTAAAATGAAAGCACTAACCAAGTCTTGAAAAGCCCAAAAGTCATAGTAACAAGAAAACACCAGGGAATAGAACACAGTACACTACCATGAGAAGCAAAACAATGTGACAGCAACAACGAGCTAACAAAGACTGATGGAAACCAGGTTCTGAAATACAAGCAAACTGACGAGACAATGACGAACACCCGGACAAGACACAAATGGCTGGGGTAGCTGATTGGAAGACACAAGGGACCAGGATGACAAGAACAGGTGGAAAAAAAACTATGAAACAAGGCCAAATGGAATCAAAACAAAAACAGAATAATGCATACCTGTCAACTTGTACGTTTTCCCTGTATTTTATACATTTTTTTATCATTTCAAATCATGTGCGGCATATTACAACTTTTATATGGGAAAAAAAAAATTGTGAACCAATCTCTCAAAGACCATTTTGGCTCAAATCCAGATCGTCTCAACTGCTGGTAGCTAACGACAATGCCGTGGTCGATCGCTACTATTGTCACGGCAAACCAGCAATTAAAGTAATCCTCAATCGTACATTTTTTTTCATCGCTGTGTACGGTAGGATTGATAAAGCATGATGTGCGCATGCGCGGTAAGCCGTTGTAAGGTTTTTTTATTGCTCTGTAAAGGGAATTGTAATCATTTATAAGGGCAGCTATGAGAAGAGGTTGACAGGTATGATAATGGCAGGTGGTGGCATGATTAAGGAAGGGAAAACAAAAGGATGCAGAACCGACAGCAGGGGTGCCCAACCTTTTTTGAGCAAAGATCTACTTTTCGATCAACCAACCTACCGCGATCGAGCCGTGACTGCGCATGCGCGCATACACACACACTTACACACGCATTCCATAATGAGCAACAGCCATAACGCCCCCTAAGATGAACGAAACAGAAAAATAAACACAAGAATTTGTGAGTTTGTGGAAAAGCAAATCACTGCCTACCTTCATCGAGACCTGACACGGAGGAATGGGACACACTTTTGTAGCGTGTTAACGATCGTAGCTCACATGTACCGTTTTAAAATGCTTCTCTCGGCCCTCCAGATTCCCATTCTTCGCCAGTGCCCTCGGTGAATTGTATATGAAACAAACTCTGAATGAGAATAATAATAATAAAAGATATAGCGCAACAGCTCTGATCGCAAGCTGCAATTCCAGACTGCTGACCGCTAACAACTTCCGGTGATGCAGGTCATGCGCCACCGTAGGTTAAAGGTGATCTGCTTTTTTCCATCTATCCATTTTCCTATCCGCTTTATCCTCACAAGGGTCACAGGGGGTGCTGGAGCCTATCCCAGCCGTCTTCGGGACACCCTGAACCGGTTGCGAGCCAATCGCAGGGCACACAGAGACGAACAACCATCCGCGCTCACACTCACACCTAGGGACAATTTAGAGTGTTCAATCAGCCTGCCATGCATGTTTTTGGAATGTGGGAGGAAACCGGAGTACCCAGAGAAAACCCACGCAGGCCCGGGGAAAACATGCAAACTCCACACAGGAAAGCCGGAGGTGGGATTGAACCCACGACCTCCGCACTGTGAGGTCAATGCGCTAACCACTGGACCACCGGGCCGCACTGATCTGCTTTTTTTATTTTATCTTTTAAATACTTCTTGTGAAAGTGATAGGATGCTAAGGGTGCAGTGTGCGCTAATATAAAAATATATCATATATTTACGCAGACACACAAATGTTTTGGGTTGGGGGGGTTTTCCCCCTCTACACTCCTCGTGATCGACTTAGGACCAGTCTGCAAGCTATCGGTCGATCGCGATCGACATATTGGGCACCCCTGACCTACAGTATATATTTTTAACTTAACGGAATGAAAATGTACTCTTTCAAAGTCCAAATATTGTGAAGGTTACAGTTTTTCTCGTCTTACGCTATTTCGCATCACGAGACGAAACGTCACTTCGCCCTGCATTTCTCGCAGGACACAATCGTTGCTGATTCATTCACGCCACGCCTTCTCTGACAAAGACAAAAATGTGTGAACATCCCTCAACCATATCACCACTGACACTTCATAATTCCCGTGTCATTTTTGGCGAGTTATACAAATCGTGAAATGCATCACCATTCAGAGGCAGTAATATTATGGTAACTGATTACTATCAGAGGAGTCCAAGTACGAATACACTGATACTGTATATGCTATAGTGCATTTTGGAAGTAAGTTGCAAAATACTGCTCATGTCCATTAAAATTGTGTGCAGTACTTAAATTATTTCTAAATTTAGATTTTTTTTTTTTTTTTTTGTAGAATGTTTGTTAATAATCATGTATTTATGGAGTGATCGTTGGGAAAAATGTATTTGTGGAAAACCTGTTTTCTGCCTTTGAACGCTGTAGACAATGCAGGTGGCCTCTTCGCTACAATTGCTACCACCGCAAATCACGATCTGTATGAAGGTCTCTTTGAATTGCGGCCGTGCACGCGGTGGGGCCTCCGCTGCATGTTGCCCAGTCAGGACTTTGCACAATGAGGTCATGTATGCTTCAGTCGCGAGGTCAGGTATAAAAGCAACTGGGTGACATGGAGAAAACTAAGCAGTCTGTTTGCTCTTCCCCACGTTATCACCGCAGCTATGACCATGGGCAAGGTAAATCTCGCCTTTGGGGGGTGGGGGGTGAAATTAGTTTTATTGGCTAATCAATCAATGTAATCAGTTACTGGGCTTGGGTTGCAGATCATCTTCTATGAGGATAGGAACTTCCAGGGCCGTTCCTATGAGACCAGCAGTGACTGCGCTGACATGTCCTCTTACCTGAGCAGGTGCCTCTCTTGCCGGGTGGAGAGCGGCTGCTTCATGGTCTACGACCGCACAAACTACATGGGAAACCAGTTCTTTGTCAGGAGGGGGGACTACTCAGATTACCAGCGCATGGGCATGAGTGACTGCATCAGGTCTTGCCGCATGATCCCCATGGTACTGTACGACAGCCACCCCATGCCTACCACTTAGTCTGTTCAGGGTCATGAGTGACATTGGTCACAAGTCAATCACAGAGCACATGGAGACAACAATCATTCACTCGCAGGGAAGGTATGGCTTCGCTTAGGTTGCATAGGGGTCGTTTCTCGACCCGATGGTTTTAAATTTAATCCTCATCCCTTTGACCATGTTGAAGATACTGCCTTGTCACATTTACTTTGACAGTGAGTTACCTAGTATCCATGTTTCTAAAATGTGGGATGAAACCTGATGAAAATCCATACAAGCACAGGGAGGACATGCCAAGATTCAAACCCAGAACCTTTGTGTTGTCCCTGTGCACTAGCATGCCACAAACTGTCACCTTTCCGTTAAAAAAATAATCAATTCGAAATGGTGCGAGTTACTGACTTTTTCCTGCTTTCGTTTCAACCAACAGCACAGAGGCCAGTTCAGGATCAAGATATTTGAGCAGGAGAACATGAGCGGCCAGTCCAACGAGCTGCAGGAGGACTGCGAGAACATCCCAGAACGCCTTCGCATGAGTGAATGCTTGTCCTGCAGCGTGTTGGATGGCCACTGGCTGCTGTTTGAGCAGCCCAGCTTCAGGGGCAAGATGATATACCTGAGGCCTGGCGAGTATAGGAGCTTCAGGGACATGGGCATAAACGGCACTCGCGTCATGAGCATGAAACGCATCATGGAATCCTGCTCTTAGAAGCAACTGTGTAGCAAAACAAGATTTGAAATAAAAATCACTTTAGAATGTACTTCCTGGTGTCTCATCTGCAATGCAACTCATACACTGTATATGGCTGAAGCGCATCCAGATGATGCCGGTGCCGTGTGCAAATTTTAAGTGAGGGCAACTGTCATTGCAATGATATCTTGATAACATTCGTATATATCACGATGTGATTTTGTGTTCATGAAAAGGAAGAAAGAAAATGACAATTTGCCTTCAGATGATCACATTTCCTTGAATGGTGTCGGTTCCTATCTTAAACATCTTTCTTTTACCATCAGGACAAAAAGGTTAGTTAGTGGAATTATCTCAGTTCTTAAATGCGGTTCTTCACACACAGACAATAAAGACGAAAACTGATGTACTCATTTGAACTATTTTGCTCACACTTTTGGGTGGTCTGCGTCTCACCTTGGAATTGATGATGCAGTATTGCACATTGCGTCGATAGTCGGAGCAGACAAAGAGAGACTTGTCATGTCCTCTTCGCTTTGCTGAGAACTTGCGGGCTGTCGGTTTGGATAAGCGGCATTTAGGGTTTCAGTCGCCTTTTAAACCTGAATACATGGAAGGCTCCCACGCATTTATGATCATCTTGATTTTGCTTTTATTGACAATTTCAACCTATTGCTATCTCACAGACAGATGTTTCTTTTGTAAATATTGATACTTGTTCCTGCAGAGTCCATAAAATTAAATGTGGGGTTCCCCACGGTCCAATTCTTCATATTCTTCCCCTTACGGACGTCATCAGGAGACACGGCATCAGCTTTCACAGCGACACTGATGACACACAGCTGTATATTTCCGTGTCTCCTGACAACAGAGAGCCTTTTGAAAGTGCGCCCATTTCTCTGTCAGGCTAACACGGAAATGCTGATGAGGTGCGTGATGGTAGAGGACCCAAAAAGCAGGGAGGCAGGAGAAGCTGGGTGTACTGAACAAAATTTACAAACAAAAACACTTGCAGGGGGCACTCTGAAAAAACTCAAATCAATAACACAAAGAAAGTCCTGAAAATCCCAAGAAACCAAACTAATAAAACAACGGAACAGAACCATGACAGTAAACTGAACCAAAACCAAATTTAATCTCAACAACAACAGAATCATGACACTTATTTCCTGTTGGTTTGATTATTGTCATGCCCTGCTCTCTGATGCTCCTAAAAAGAGTATTTCAAGCTTACACCTACTCCAGAACTCAGCCGCATGAATCCTGACAAGGACCAGAGGGTGGGAACATATTGCACCAGTTTTAAAATTGTCGCATTGGCTTCCCATTATCACGTTCGCGAGGTGGTGGTGGACCCCAAAAAAACAGGCAAGAGGGAGGAGCAGGGTGTACTTGACAAATTGTATTAAAACAGAGAAAACTAAATCCAAAACAAAGAAAGTCCAAAGTATCAAACAAAAACCATGACTGAAGCTAAAACATAACAGTAACCGAAACATGACTGAAACAAATCTGACAGAAGCAAACAATGACCTGACACTGAGTGGTCGTGCCGGGAGTCCTTTTATACGACCGGTACTAATCACATAACGACCAACAGGTGTGCAGCTGCAGGGGGAACCCTAGAGTGCCACCTGTTGGTCACAAACATAATCATGACACCCATGTGTTTCAGGATCGATTTTAAAATACTTTTATTACTTGTTAAATGTCTTAACGGTCTTGGGCCATTTTATTCATCTGAGCTGCTTTTATCATATCAGCCCTCACGGATCCCGAGGTTCTCTGGCACTGGCCTTTTAATTATTCCTAGCGTGAGAACCAGAATACAAAGTGAGGCTGCATTAGCCATTTCGGTCCACAGCTATGGAAAAGCCTGCTAGAGGACATCAGGTCCGCAGAGACTGATGTTTTTAAGACGAGCGTTAAGCTTGGTTTTTGAATAACTTATTTATGTATTTATTAAAATGCCTATAATTTAATCCTTTTTTTTTTGTTGTTGTTGTTGTTGTTGTTTTTTTATAAGCTCCAGCGTTTCCTCATGGGGGTCCTCCAAGCTGGGAGGTGTGGCGGCTGTCATTCTTGTCAGAGTGGATGAGCTCCCCTTGGGTTTTCCTCATGTAGTTTGGCATGTCGTTTTTTTAAATTGTGTGTGTGTGTGTGTGTGTGTGTGTGTGGGTGTGTGTGTGTGTGTGTGTGATCCTTGTGGGGATATGTATCTGTGTATGTTGGGGCTATTGGAAGGGTCCTCTTTTTATGTTGATGTTTTAATTGCACAGCATTTTCTGATCTATGAAAAGTCCTATATAAGTAAAGTTTGTTGGATTGATTGATTGATTGATTGATTTTGATATTGTCCTCAAGAACAAATGGATGTATACAGGCTGAATCATGTGTGTTTGTCCGTCTGCAGTGAGATCGTAACTCCTGAATCAACACCAAATAAGCAAAGATGCTTATGAAGAAGACATTGTTTTTATTTATTCAAGCTGAGTACATAGTTCTAGCACATGTCAGTGATACGTCTCAAGCTGATGATCCTGATGCCGCTCAGGCCCATCTCCTTGAGGCTGCGGTGCTCACCGGGCTTCACATAGATCATCCTGCCGCGGAAATGGGGCTGCTCAAACAGCAGCCAGTGACCCTCCAGCACCTGGCAGGACAGGATGTCGTTCATGCGGAGGCGCTCCATGATGTTCTCGCAGTCCTCCTGCAGTTCGTTGGACTGGCCAGTCAGGTTCTCTCGCTCAAAGATCTTAATCTTGAATTGGCCTCTGTGCTGTATTTCAAATTCCAAATGTCAATGATGTCAATGTCTGCCGCGTTCACACTCGTAACATTCAGGTTTTGGTTGGTTGCTCACCAAGGGGATCATTCTGCAGGATCTGATGGAGTCCAGGGTCACTCCCAGAGTCGTCATGCGCTGCAGGTCTTGGTACTCTCCTCTCTTGAGGAACAACTGGTTGCCCAGGAAGTTGGAGCGCTCATAGACCATGAAGCAGCCACTCTCCACCCGGCAGGACTGGCAGCGACCCAGAACAGTGGTCAGCTCGGGGCAGTCATTCAGGCACTCGTAGGAGCGGCCCTGGAGGTTCTTCTCCTCGAAAAGGATGATCTGAAAAGTGAAAACAGAGACGTTTTTGCATTGCCCATGAAAGAAATGCAACACCGTGTTTTTACCTTGCCCATGGTGATGGTTTAGGTTGTTCCCAGTGGAGGATTCAACTTGCTCTGCTAACCCCATGATTGCAAGACCTTTTTATACAAAATCCCGGGGGCCATGATGCGTTGTTATTCAAATGCGCAAAGCTGATGAATCGGCAGACTGACTTTTTGCTGAACAGGGCCTATAAATGCGTAACAATGCTTCTCCGTCCATACATTTCTGGCTGCGAATCACCTGCATTATGTGTCCACAAAGGCTTTGTGCGTGTTCGCTCAGTCAGAAGCTTCTGCACATATGGTGTGATCACGGCCATTGGGGAGAGCGCAGCATCCAGTGCCTCAAGGGTGAACTCACAGAACCAGAATAGAAAATTCACTAGTTACTGGACATCTTTAATGTTTCATCATATCAACGTAAATATGCTTTATCCTCAAACGGTTATGAAAACTTTATTTCCCTCACACGAGCCTTTCATCATGCCAACAGAATTTCCAGACACAAGAAAATAAAGGTCCATTCAAATCCTGCGGGTACATTTTCCTTGATGGTTAATTTTTTCAAATTGTTCATATTGTCTTTTTATTTTGTGAACAAAAACAAATCACACAGTGGGAAGAAGGGTTAATGTAACAGACCCCAGCGGCCGGGCGAGGAAAAAGCTTGGGAATCAAGATAGCAGCAGAGCAAAAAGTAAGAATAACTTGCTATTTATGTAAAAAGATACTGGGCCAAAAAGTATTAAATGAATGAGTCATTATTTATCCAAGGAATGACCCTCATTGTCCAACTGCAACATTACATGGAAAAACAGTTATACAGACTATAATCCGTGTCTCTATTCATAAGGTGGTAATGTTACCGGAAATAGATTTGTTTTCACAATTTATTTTATTATGATACTATTGTGTCAAATAAAAACAAATGTATATTTTTTGTGTTACTTTTTTTTCCAATTATACCAATAGCAAAATTAAGAACGATTTGTTTCCCATATCTACATAAAAGGAACAGGGCATATCTCTTAGTAGTAGTGGTCAATACACAATACAGATGGAAATATAATATATTTAGCACACACCTCAGGCAGGAAAACTACAAAACACTAATCCGCTTCTCTTCACGAGGGGCACGGTCATGCCGGAGCCTATCCCAGCCGTCTTCGGGCAGTCGACAGGGTACACCTTGAACTGGTTGCCAGCCAGTCACAGGGCACACATAGACGAACAACCATTCACACTCATAGTCAGACCTGCGGACAATTTAGAGTGATTAATTAACCTATCGTGCATATTTTTGTGAATGTGGGAGGAAACTAGATTCCCCGAAGAAACCCCACTCAGGCACGGGGAGAACATGCAAACTCCAACCAGGAAGGCCGGAGCCGGACTCGAAACCTGCACCTCTACACTGTGAAGTGGACATGCCAACTAGTCGATCACCGTGCCACAACACATAGCATTCACAACGAATTATGTGTGTGTGTGTGTGTGTGTGTGCTCTCTCTCTATATATCTACATATATATCTAGATATATATGTAGATATATAGAGAGAGAGATTGAGAGAGAGAGAATGATAGATAGATAGATAAAAATATGCACAAATACAGACAGCTTGCTTTATTAATAGATATTGTTAAATCAACCCCTAGCCCTGAATCTTTTTTTTTTTTTTAATTAATCTGAATTTTTTTTTTATGGTTCAGGTTCATTGATGTGAAAAAAAGACACTAACCACAATAAAATCCTAATTAATATTATGAGCGAAGAAATTTTTGTATTGCTAATATGGTCTGTAATTATACAGGTTTCAAAATGTCTGAAAGGTCTTCCAATATTATAAGTCAGGATGTGTAGCTAAATAAATAATCATCAAGTCATCTATTGTGAGGCTGTATGCCCATTGACTGTAAACAACCCCCCCCCCCCACACACACACATACACAATATGTCTGTCAAGGAGAAAGCAATGACAAAGCCAGGTTAAAAATCCGACATCTTTAATAAACAAAGCGTTTGATATTTACAGCAAGGCTTTCATTTGATGGCTAAAATTCTGTGACCCTCCTGAAGGAACCGACGATGGCGCAGGTGGCGCACCAATCGCGGTACCGCCGGTATTCGCCAGGCCTGAGGAAGTACTGGCGCCCTCGAAAGTTGGGGTACTCGTAGAAGATCCAGTAGCCATTCATGACGTTACAGGAGTAGATATGGCGGTGGTGGAAACGGTCGGATACACAGGTACAGTCGTCCATGAACTCCATCATGTGACCGCTGAAGTCAGGCTTCTCATAGATGCGCAATCTGTACGAGCCTCGGTACTGTGGGATCACATCAGAAGGGACAGTTGGGTTTGCATGAGCATCAAAATGACTCATCTCATTTTAAGTTCATCTTAATGAAGGGCAGGATCGTGGACATGGAAAAAACGGAAATTATATGACGTACCCAACACCAGAAATGGAATCACAGATATTATCATCATAAACCAGAAGCAGAGTCGCAGACATCAAAACAAATAATAGCCTATCTTCAAGTATGGGAACCCAATCGAGAAACGCAGATCTTTAAATGACCGGTCTGGCTTTACGTACAGAAACCCATGGGAGAATCACAGGCAGCAATATGAAAGCTTTGTCTAGCATTTCAGTGTGGAAAAAGAAGGCAGAATCGCAAACCTTGAAAAGACCCGTCCAGCTTTAAGGAATAGAAACCAGGCAGCATCACAACCATCGAAATTATTAGTCTAGCATTTTTGTATAGAAAAAAAGTGGATATTTGTAGACATCGGAATGACAGGCCCAGCTTTTCAAAACAGAAACCAGAGTCTGATATCAAACACTAGAAAGAGTAGTGCAACTTTTAAGAATGGAAAACAAGCAGAATTGTGCCGGTCGGAACGACCCATCTCGGGACATCATGGACATTGGAATAATTGTTATCACGCTTAAGCTAGGATTCTGGAAGCAAAACAATGGACAATCACAATGACTTGTCTAGTTGTCAAGCCGAATGAAGAACATCGGAATGTCTGCTCAAGCTTGAAGAACAAGGCAGAACCACAAGCATTCCAGCCCTTACTGCGGGAATCATCCTGCACGAGCGGATGCAGCTGCTAAAACCCATCCATCTCTGGTAGTCGGGATAGTCTCCCCTCCTCATGAAGTACTGGTGGCCCATGAAGTTGGCTCGCTCGTAGATCATGAAACAGCCGCTCTCCACCCGGATGGAGTTGCAGCGGTTAAAGAAGGAGTGGAGGTCCGTGCAGTCATTGCTGCACTCATAGCTGCGACCCTGGAAGTTCTTGTCTTCGAAGAAGATGATCTGTTGGGAGACGGGAGGTTGCGTGACGACAGACGAAGATCTAAAATGTGATTTGATGTCAGCGGAGCAGAGCCTACCTTGCCCATGGTGTCTATTGGAGAGATTTCTCATGTTTCCAGGGCTTTTTATAGCAGCTCCACACAAACAAAGCATTGTTATTCAAATGCTCTGCTAGTTATAAATGAACGCTACTGGCACATGTGCACCTTTTTGTTGGACCGTGACATGGGGTGAGAAATATAGATTTGTATTTGACACAAAAAGAGAATAAATAATTAACAGGGTTTGACGTTGATGGACAAGGGAAAGGACTAGTATGGTATCCACACATCCTGCGGACAATGGAGGCAGAACAATATGGAAAAGCGCTGTTCACGCCTAATGTGTTGCATAACAGTGCGGGGCGCCGCTCGCTGTTCACACCGCAGGTACTTCATGCGTGTTAATACACAGGATGCTAAGGATTTAATCAGGTTTGCAAAATTTACACACCATTTTTTAATAGTCTGAATGGGTTTAAGTGGCATCTTAACAGACTGCAATTTTCTATACGTACATATTTGAAGCATTCCCCCATAAGGTTAAAGTCACAATCCTAACACTGCTTAGAATTATACTTTAGTTTTGATTTGATCCAGAATTGTCAAAAAAAGTGTAGTTGGAAAATAATGTATTCAGCTCCTCTTGTTGGGATAGCACAAATTTTAACATAAAAAATAGCTTGGACCTGTAGTATTAAATTGTATTTTTTTTTTAATGTACATACAGTGATTAGTATAAAAATACAAACGATCATAGGCATCTTTAATTCAAATTTCATAATTCATTATACTTATAAATTTTGAGTAATGAGCTCACATAATGCAGTTATTCCCAACTATTAGTGTGCTGTGAGAGCTCTAACGGTGTGCCACGGGAAATTATCAAATTTCACTTATTGCTGAGAAAATTATTTATGAATAACAACTAATGTATCTTTGTCTATCTATGCCAGCAACTTATAGCGACAGAAAGAACAAATAAACGATCTTCTATTAGATGGCAAAGAGTATGAAATTGACATATGTGTCCTCTTTTTGTGTCAATTTTATTTGGTGGTATTTATAAAATATGTGCCTTGGCTCAATAAAGGTTAGGAATAACTGAAGTGATGTAACTATTAGCAGGATTCAGTAAATACTGAACTGCTGTAGTGTATCCTAATAAGCAGGGCTGTTGCTAACCAAATTGGTGCCAGACATACAATTTCATTTGTGTGCCACCCAATCGGCCCTTTCTCATACCCCAAACATATTTGTTGACAGTGGGCAGGGGTGCTGTGGAGGTGTGGTTGTTGATGACGAGTGTTAATCTGCCACATTTGGTTTGGACTACATTTACATTCTATCAGCGCCCCCCAAAAAAATCACACTCTAAATTTTATGGTCATGTATGATATTTTTCTTCATGGGATTGATGTAAATTGGCATGAGAAAGTCCTGAAAACATCGTGCGAGACAATAAACTCAATGACAACAATGAACCCCTCTTTACAATATACAGCGAATTACTGCGTATTTGTCAATTAGGCAGATATTTGACTATTTTATGGGGAACCTCGCTGAAAAATTCAACTATTGATCAAGATCACTCCATGCCATAAATAATTCTTCCCGACAGGTGTTTATACTGTATTGTAATTAACTATAGATGCCATAAGATGGTGGCAAAGGACTACAGTACTTTAGTCTAAATGAAGTTCCTTAATTAACAACAACAGTTTTTGGGTGGCAAGATAGCTACAGATGGTACTAAATCAGTATAACACAAAGCAGACTTTGGACACTAAAACAGGGAAGTGTAGGAAATTTGTTTCCCATCTTAACCCTTTCATGCACCCTGTAACCCAATAACATGATAAGCTGTCCACTGTAGTAACCGCTGTCCTGGAAAGGGTTGAACTGCATTTTTTTTTTTTGCATGCAAGTTGCTAGCAAAGACTACAGTAACAAACACTGCTGATGTTTCTTGAATGAATCATCCAACCGGGCTGTCCCATTTTTCATTCAAAAACACTCTTGATGTATTTATTTGATCAGGAAAATTATATTAGCTTGAATTTTCAATGTTTTGGTGAAATCATTAAATACCTAACTAAATTTTGTCAAACCCTTAGAAGTGGCCAAGGAACTCCGGTAAGAAGATCATTTCATATTGTTACTCTGCATACTCGTAAGAGGGAGCACATAACTCCTACTCTGGCATCCCTTCACTGGCTTCCTATACATTTTAGAGTTCTTTTTAAGATCCCATTATTTGTTTTCAAATCTTTAAATGGCAAATCTTTGTGGCCTCCTCCATCATTTAAATTTCTCATTCCTAGCTTTATCTTGTCACGAATGAGCAAAAGCCTTTCCCATCTGACTTTGGATGAGAAGCGTGGTACACCCTGACCTGGTCACCCCAGCCAAATGCGGGTTTTTGTGCTAAGGCTTCACTTGTGGACAGACAAGCCCTCTTTCTCATGCTTTCTGTCATTTTGTTTGTTGCATTAAAGATGCCTAAGTCCAACAAATGACTAATGTCAGATGTCAGACATGACATATGTGGGAATCCATGTTGAGTAAATATCAACTTGAGGGCAATGATCACCTGTTTGCTTGTTGTCTGTGGAAGTCATAACAGATATTCCTGCTGAAGTGGAACAAATCAAGTCCAACTTTGTCCAAGCCCTGTCTGGTATTTCAGGACACATAAGTGGCTCTTTGATATGTTGTGTTCGTATGTGTTGCAAATAGAACATTTCATCCCATTGTTCTCAATTTGCTTTGACACCAATGGCCAAAATTGAATGTTTCTTGCTGTTTCTTTGTGTTTGGCAATGCCTAGATGGGCTTCTTATACTTTTGTAACATGTCAGCTTTCATGCTGTGGATGGAACAATCAATGTTGTGTTTTATGAAAAGTGCCTCTGAGAGAGCATTTTTTTTCTTCGAATGTTCAGCATTTTTTTTAATTCAGGGGAAACCTGTTGCATACTTCAGGCCACCCTGACAGGAGTGTTGGGTTTTGCTCTGTTAGAAATGCTTTGCTGAGGGTTTCAGCGATGTGCAAGTCTTTGGCGGGCTCGTAGGACACCTGCAGGTCAAATGCCTGCAGTGCAGCATCCTTTGTCGTCTTGGTTGGGGCTTTTGGTATGTAATTAAAACTTCAAAATGACAACCTAAAAGGTTACACGGATACATATCCGCACAAGTCCGTATGTTTTATTGAACATGACCTTCTCAAAACAAAAAAAGTGTTAATCAAGTGGCGAAAACACGCTGTAAACTTACGACATTCACATTCCAGGCTGTCTCACAAAGTTTTAATTCATTACTGTCTTTGTGTTATTTTTAAAGCCAAAAAGTTTAAGACAGCTGCCTCCGAGCTTGTTGGTGTTGATTTCAGTGCCTCCGCCAAGTTGCGTTTATACGCTCCTCTCGTGTAGTTACAAGATCTTGGGCGACGAGAGATGTCACAATTCATGGAAAGAAGACGTGTTCAAACGATCGATTTTTGTTGTGTGAATCAATGTCGGGCTATGAAAAGGGAAATGAATTTCATTCAATTAATCGATTTTTCCAATGCAGCCCTAATTAATTCGATCTCTGATAAAGAAGTTAGTGTTTTGCATGAACTTGCAATCTTTTGCCTTCACATTTGCGTCAATGGTTTCATTTTAACCCTCAGCCCTTGTGAAGAACATGTGTCTTACATTGGTGACATTCTTTCGCGGATCGCAGCGTGCACACAATTTTTCTTTTCATCTTCACCAAACACCAGTGTGTTAAATACGATGACTCCGGCCACACGTAGGAAGGTTGCACATTCAATCTTTTGCGTCTTGTGAGAGATGCCGCTCCCAATCAGGTACAGCTCAAATATTTGGATCCACATTTTCCAGATTGCGCCGGATTTCCTTTGAGACATAAACTGCTTGGTGGCTTTAGTTGCTCCATTTTTTTTTTAACTTCAGGCACTATGTCATAATAGTTACTTGTTGCAGGGATCAGCACAGCCATAGATTGCTCATGAAAACAGTCTGGCATGCTTGTCCTTGAGCATACGTTTCTGGTTCTTACAAAGTAATAGCAGTCCTATTCGAGTGTCTCAATACAACACATGACAGGAACCAAAGTCCACATGTTTAAGCACTGATGCCATTTTATTCAGCGTGTGAGAAAGTGCAAAGAGCAGACACTTGACGAGAATCTTTGTGTTCTTCTTATAGGTCCAAGAGACGCTTGACGGAGCCCATACGGGAAGTGGAACCGTTCCATTCGGTGAAATTACGGTAGGAGCCGGGCCGCAGGTAGTAGTGGCGGCCCTTGTAGTTGGGCTGCTCGTACATTAGCCAGTGGCCGTCAGCGACGTTGCACGAGTTAAAGTTAGATACCCGGAAGCGTTCTGGGAGGTTGGGGCAGTCGTCGGTCAACTCCATCATCTGGCCCGCCATGTCAAAGTTCTCATACAGCTTTATCCTGAAGGCGCCGTGATGCTAATAAGGAGGCAAGAATTTCAATTGTTAGTTTAAAAGTTCGTTTTTTTTTCTTTTTGGGCAGCATTTGCCTTGAGCCCCACTACCCACCATCGTACCCCAACAACTGGTACCCTTTGTTGAGATATTTTCTGTTTGACCTCATATTTTTTTTTTTTTTTACCCACAGGTACAGATGATGACTGACAGAACCCTTTCTACGATGGAACTTTCCTGTACGACTGAGAGCCTCCACAAGCATTTATTCAACTACCAAACCTCAACTACTCAAAACTACCATCGTAAATCCATGCCGATTCATCCCTGAGTGTTGAACACTCTATTCTTGAACACTCTATTCTTTTTGTCAAGTACAAAACCAAGCATGTTTTTTCGAATTCAAGACATTCCATCTTTACACACATCCAAACCTTGAAAAAGCCTCTTCCTCATCACTTTATCATATTTGTTTTATTTCATTTTGTTGTTCTATTTTTATTCTCACAAATCTTGGGACTTATTGGGCAAACCAGGGACATCGGGTATCGTTATTCGTACTGTAAAATGTGGAAATGTGTGGGGGTACAACAAACTTAGCTGTGTGGGACGTCATGCACGTTTTGAGCATGAAATAGTGGTTACGATTGCATCACTGTCCATGTCTGATGTTATGTGTTGTATTATATTACTGTATTTTGTTGTCTTACGCTAACTGTTCTGTAAATCGCTACCATGCTGGTGGCTGCCTGCCCCTGTTTAAACTCCAAAAACACCTTATATAATAAGAAATACCCTCTGTTTTTCTTGCTATCACGTTGTTCAATAGTGAGGAATTGATTACAACATAATTAAAAGCTTTGAAAACATGTTTCTATTCAGGTCAAAATTGAAATACAGGCTAATCTTTTATTTGGTATTCATATTTTGATTTCAAACTTCAGGGCAGTCAGCTACTCACCAGTCATGAACCTTACCACACGTCACTGGTTAAAACGTGCTAACGGATCAACGCGATATCGTTTAAATGTGATGACTTTTTTTAATAGCCAGTAACGATGACCTATGAGAAACAAAAGCCAGTGACCTGAACTGGAAGTCAAGCTTTTCAACTTTTAACAAGATAACGTTGATGCTTTCATGCGATAATTTTGATAATTTAACATGATAATTTTCACATTTACTTTTAACATGAGAATTTTCACATTTGGTGTCGGTCGGTGTGAAAACTGATCATATTGTGACATGAAACTGATGACATTAAACCATGAAATTTTTGTTAAAACGTGAAATTTATCACATTTTAACGTGATCTTGAACTTTTTTTTTTCTTGTTGTGGCAGCACTATGCTTCTACCAGAAGGAAAACATTCTGAGTGATGTGAAAGGGCTTGCTTGTATAGATAGTTATCAAAACCTTTACCTTTACGTATATGCTGGTAACGGACCTTGTAACGGAAATGACAACCAATCAAATGATCAGCGCGGTGATTGACGGAGCAACAGCACTGGCAGGACGCAAGCGACAAAGCCACATCAGTGGCTGGGAAAAGATAACTTCAGAGAAGGGTTTCAAGTTCCATCAGGGCAAGAAAAAGCAAGGGGCCTCGCATTGACCACTACTTCCTCAGAGGTAGAGCAAACCAGTTGCAAACCAGTTGATTGAAGCCCAGCAGCAGGGCAATCACCACAGTCCACATAGTATCAGAACTCCAGCCGAAGCTCAACCAGGCATGGATCCACCAACTGACATAATTCCAGAACCCATGGACAGTAGTAGAGAGGAAAATGAATGGGCGAAGGCCTCAAATTTTGTGGCCTAAACCTGCCAGAAAAAGGAGTGGGAAAGAGCTTCTCCACCTCCTAGAAGGTCTGAAAGGGACGCGTGGAGAAGTTGGACAAGATTGGAGAGATAATTTACAATTATGGGGCAGAGAAATTCAGGCTAAAAAGCGAGAACCCATGTCAATCCCATGGGAGGCCAAATGACCACGTGGTGCCACTGTGCGACGCACAACCGGGTGTGATAAGCCTGTGGTGGGCCAACCTCAGCAGAGGGTGTCTTGTGAAAAATGGCCGAAGCACCCAATAACGTCGAGGCACGCAACTGATGATGTGCCGGGTGGGGTGCGCCACATCAGTGCCAAATCCCACTCCACCCAAGATCACATTTCCAACTCTTCCATCTATTGTGCTGAACATTTAGGGACTTTAACAGCTAGTCCTATAAAGAAGTTGCATATTCCCTGGACACCTCATGCCATAAACATACACGATCTAACGTGATCTAACACAAGCAATGTATCAAGAATGACACATTTTTGTCCTATTCGTGTAACAATTTAACGTATGTATCAAGAATGACACATTTTTGTCCTATTCGTGAAACAATTTAACGTAACAATTTCACTGTCACAAGTTTATTATGATGGCGGCCCGGTCCGGGCCTGCGTGGGTTTTCTCCGGGTACTCCGCTTTCCTCCCACATTCCAAAAACATGCATGGCAGACTGATTGAACACTCTAAATTCTCCCTAGGTGTGAGTGTGATCGTGGATGGTTGTTCGTCTCTGTGTGCCCTGTGATTGGCTCGCAACTGGTTCAGGGCGTCCCCTGCCTACTGCCCGAAGACAGCTGGGATAGGCTCCAGCACCCCCTGCGACCCTTGTGAGGATAAAGCGGTTCAGAAAA